AAAAAAAAAAAACACACATTCTGATTCAGTAGGTGTGGATTGAGGTCCTGTGATTTTGCTCCTGCACAATGAATAAATTAAAATAAAAAAGTTGATTGTTGCAGAATAAATCTTTCTCCTTATGGTCTTATTTTGAAATTATTTTTTAGGTATATCATGGTCTGTGTGTTTTAGGTATATTAATCTGAGTTTCACTTCAGTTATGTTACGTGCTTTTATTATTCAGCTTAAAATTTTTTAAAGATGATAGCAGTGAAATCTTAAGTTGCGAAACTGCAGTTTTCTGAAGGCATTAAGTAGTTCTTTAGCTCTCTTCATAGTGGATTTATTGAATACATACTGTGTAAGGTACTGGTTGGTGAGATTTACATTTAATATTTTGTTTAATCCTCACCACAGGTATAAGAGGTAGATACTATTGATCATCACATTTTATAGATGACGAAACACACCTATATACTAGGTGAAATTATGAAATTTGTCCCAAACTCTGATAGCTAATAAGTGTCTCAGAGCTTGAAGTGAGTTGAATCCAATTTTGACTGGAAAGCTTATCATTTTAACACTGTTCTAATACGCCTGCCAGCTCTCCATGAGTACCTTTTTTTTTTTTAAAGATTTATTTATTTGTGCATACAGAACTGGAGAACTGGAGTATAGGCCAGAGGCTCAGGGGCGGTGAGAGGCTTCACCAGAGACAGAGCGGGGAACAGAACAGGCAGATTGAGGAAGTACACTGCTGAGGGGAACAGCGGGTGGGTCAGGAGAGGTCTGCCCGCCATGTGGTCACCTCCAGGACAGGCGGGAATCGAACTCGTGAGGAAGCGGCTCATGAGATTCTCAGTGCTGTGCTTTAACCCGCTGCACCACCAGGGAGGGCCACCGTGAGTACCTTTTAAAGTGATAGCTACAACTCCTGAAAACTAGTTCAAGCACCACTGCTTGCTGCTTTAGAACCACTTGCACGCTAAGTTCTAATTCCTGGGGTATTAACTTCTAAAAGTTCTGGGGTTGAAATCCAGAGTGTCTGTTTTTTCACAGATTTCCAGTATGGTTTCTGATGGCCGTATAGCAGTATATAGGGCAGATAGTGAGACCAGGGCAGTGCACTGGTGCCCTCTACTCTCACCCTCTCAGGGTTGTGGTTGGGTTATGTTGGGGTGAACGTTACACCTATAAAAGTGATATTTCTGATTTTGCTTTTATCTTTAGGAACAGCGCTTAAAGTTTTTGAAACAGCAAGACCAGCGTCAACAGCAACAAGCTGCTGAACAGGAGAAGCTGAAGAGGCTAAAAGAAATAGCTGAGAACCAGGAAGCTAAGCTTAAAAAAGTGAGAGCGCTGAAAGGCCACGTGGAACAGAAGCGGCTGAGCAACGGGAAGCTGGGTGAGCATCGGTGGGCTGCTCAGTGCTGCACGGAGGCTGCGCGCTAGGCTGGTGTACGGAAGCACGCCGCCTTAGGACATTCACAAGGGGGTAGTGACACAGGAGAGTAGACTTTGTAGCTGGACTAACTTTAAGAGTTCAAGGTTTTTTTTCATGTATAATTCACTCTAGTTTTGATGCTTTTAATGCTGCTTCCCCTGCATTAAATTTAGCCGCTGAATGTTTTAGCCAGGGTTTCTAAGTTGCCCTGGAAAATGTAGAGTGGGTTTGTTTTTTTTCCTCTAAATATTTTCTTGACTGAGAATTTGAAAACAAGAATTTTTATTCATAAATAGCTTCATCTGTTCTGGCTGGAGCATTTTAACTTAAAGTTGAATGAGTGCCTTCCTCTACCACTATAAAATTGAAATTAAAGGTTCAAAGGAAATTTTATTGTTTCTAAAATGTAGAATTCAATACTTTGCTTAAATTCTAATAAATGCACATTTAGATAGAAGCGTAGACATTTAGAGATTTCATTTCTTCAAAAAGGCTGGTTTTAAGAAAGTTTTGAAAAATTTCTCTGCTTTTTATTAGAAAGTTTGTTTTAAAAATACATTCTTATTTCCCCCTGAACAATTGCTGCTTTTCTTGTTCTCCTCATAGTGGAGGAAATCGAACAGATGAATAGTTTGTTCCAGCAAAAACAGAGGGAGCTCGTTCTGGCTGTGTCAAAAGTGGAGGAACTTACGAGACAGCTGGAGATGCTCAAGAATGGCAGGATCGACGGCCATCACGACAGCCAGTCTGCCGTTGCTGAGCTGGATCGCCTCTACAAGGAGCTGCAGGTAAGCCCGGCCTGGCTGCCTATGGAATGTGCTGGAACCGCCTCTCCAGAAACAGTTGTCCATGTAAACGGCAGGATATACTGGATTTCAGTATTTTTCCCTTGGATGGAGGGTAAGCGAGATCTAAACCCCAGAGCATCCAGAGCAAACTTTATAGAACCTCAAACAGGAAACCTGCGGTATTCTTCTTGACTGCAGTTGGTGGTCTGACAATTTTAAACCATGGTATGTGAAGAGTGGAAAGGTGTTGGGACCTCTCATTTTAGAAATTACGTAATGGTTAGCCATGTGATTATCTGTTCGAGAAATTTTTCTTCCTACTCCTTGGCTACCTTTTCATCCAACCTCCCTCCTACCTCCCCCCCTTTTATTCAGTTAAGAAACAAATTGAATCAAGAGCAGAATGCCAAGCTACAACAACAGAGGGAGTGTTTGAACAAGCGCAATTCAGAAGTGGCGGTCATGGACAAGCGTGTTAATGAGCTGAGGGACCGGCTGTGGAAGAAGAAGGCAGCACTACAGCAGAAAGAAAATCTTCCAGTAAGTGGGCTGCTTTGTATGGGCTGGGGAGGAGGGGCAGATGACTAACCCAGAGAGATCACTTATCACAACAGTTTTTTCAGATCGTACTCAGTGTGCGCTCAGGAAAGACAGTGTTTATGGCTCCTCACAAGATAATCCACTGTCCTTTCACTTTTTAACATTGTTGTCTCTATATCTCTGCTTTTCTTTCTAATAGTTGTAATAAACCATGCCCGAGACGTCATTGTGTAGTGCCTTTGTTTGGGGATGTGCTGATTTTTTCATATTATAAAATTGTTACAGCCTTTTTCTGAGGTTGATCTAATAAGACTTGTAATATTAACACCTGTGCTTTTTCCTGAGGTCTCATCTGATGGAAATCTCCCCCAGCAGGGGCTGTCAGCACCGAGCCGTGTGGCTGCGGTGGGTCCTTATATCCAGTCGTCTACTATGCCCCGGATTCCCTCCAGGCCTGAACTTGTGGTGAAGCCAGCACTGCCAGACGGTTCCTTAGCTCTGCAGACTTCAGAGGTGCCAATGAAAGTACAGACACTGCCGAACATGAGGTCCTCTGCTGCTGCCCAAGCTAAAGGTAAAAACAGGTCACTTCCAAGTTCCTTCCACAACTTAGTTCCTGCCTCTTCTGTTTATTCTTCCCAAATTCAAGTTTTAAAAAATGTCTATCTCTTGCTCATGTTCCAATTTAAAGACTCTTTTGTATTCTTTTTAGTGCTAGGTAAGAGTAACTTTAAATAATTTGGAAAATGTAATATTTTTGTAAGTCTGATTAATAAGGAATTTATGAGTAGATGTCAGTAACCGCAGAACTTTTCTTTTTTGTGTGAAGTCTTCACAGACTGTGGGGTGGTGAATCTATTCCATTGACAGTTGGTATTAACGTATGAAAATGTGCCTGTTGGTAATTTTTAGAATAAAGGTAAACATTGCGAGGTAAAAGTGGACAGGGCTCCTTGAGGGTAGTGATCTTTGCGTTCTGTGTAGTGCTCAGGTGTGGAGGGCAGGTACAGCCAGAGCTTTGCTAAGAAGAGAGTAGCAGGGAGAGCTGTAGGGAAGGCTGGGCAGACAGCCGATGGCCTCCAGAGCCGCAGGAGGAAGAGAGTAGTCGGGGCCACCTCTTTTCCCTGACCATCACCCAGTACGAGAGAAAACTAGGTGACTTAAAAGTTATTCATATTTTACCATAGTTACTACTGGACACAATATTGCCACAGAATCTGGGTCTAATGGTAGAAAAGAACTGAAAAATAAAATTTATGGCTTTGAAATTTTAAATATCAGTGTAGAAAAAATTTGCACGCAGTGATTGGGAAAGACTGGTCAGTTAGGTGTTACAAGTCACATTTTGGCCTTTTTGTCCTCTGAGCATCAGGTGTGTCAACATGCCAAGGCCCCTTGGCTTGCTAAGTTGGAAATCCTCTCCTGGGGTGGTGGCAGTGCTGCTTACCCAGAGTCTTACCCAGATAGGCTTTCCTTGCCTTGAACTGTTTTAAATTACTTGAGTATGGAAGAATCTGTGTGTATAGAAGAACTGGGGTGTAGGCTAGAGGTGAGGGGGAAGGTGAGAGGATTCACCAGAGACAAAATGCGGAGCAGAAAAAATGGGGGGGGGTCTACTGAAATACAATGCTGAGGGGTGCAGTGGGTGAAACAAGAAAGGGTCTGCTGCACCATATGTGTGTCGAGCTCAGGCCTTATTGGTGATAGTGCTGAGATTTAACCCCGAGGACACCAGGGGGAAAATTTTAATACTTGCTAAAAAAACTTCTCGGATTATTATGAGTCTGAAATTTTTAAATACTGAAATTCTTCACAGGAAAAAATGAACATTAAAGCTGTCTTTAAAGGCTGGTTAATTGTAGCTGCCTTTCTACATTCTAGGCTCTAAGCTCCTTCCACTTGGTCCTGATTGGAGTTCAGCCAATGCAGATCTTTTCCCGAGCCAAGCCCCTGCGTCGGTTCCTAAGAGCTCTGGGACTGCTCCAGATCAAGGTGAGGTTTATATTTTTTTCCCTGAACATTCTGTCTTTTGGTCCTCCAAAAGATGTTGTGTATTCCTCTTTAATATAGTTACTTTCTGGCATAAAAACTTGGACAGTATTTCCCAGACACCTTTATTTAGGAATTAAGGGCACTGGCATTGTGAGTTTAGTTTATTCTTTTAATCAACTTGTTTTAAAAATAGGAACAGGCACATGGGTGAATTGGTGATGGGAGGCCCATGGGGATTATAACTGAGATGGAAAAATGCACAAAATGAAGAATAATGTAAAAAAAAAAAAAGGAACATTTAGTAGGTTTTGGGTTTCAAAGAAATTGGGGAGGGATACAGTTCTGCATTAAAAGAAATTTTATTACAGTTTAAATATAAATGTGTTTATTTCTTCTTCTTTCTTTTTTTTAGCTCATGATGGGGATATTCCACTGAGAGAGAAGGAGAAGAAAGTGCGCCCTTTTTCCATGTTTGACACAGTGGACCAGTCTGCTGCCCCACCCTCCTTTGGTACCCTGAGGAAAAACCAGAGCAGCGAAGATATCTTGCGGGATGCTCAGGTACTTGAGGTTCCCCCAGCTTTACAGACTTGGTGGCAGTGCTATATATATTTTTAGGAAGAGCTACAGTATTATGTAAGGGAGAACAGGAAAGAAACAAAATGTATCTGAAGAAATTAGAAAAATCTTTTTTTTTTTTTTAAGATTTATTTATTTATGCATACAGAACTGGGGTACAATCCAGAGGTGCAGGGGGTGAGAGGATTCACCAGACACAGAGTGGGGGCCGGAACAGGCAGATCAAGAAGTACAAGAAGTACACTGATGAGGGGAGCAGCAGGCGGGTCAGGAGGGGTCTGCCAAAATGGGTCAGCACCCAGGTTGGGGATCCAACTTGTGCCGAAGTGGCTATGGGGAGCTCCGTGATGCAGCACTTTAACCCGTTGCGCCACCAGGGAGGGCTCATGTTCTGTCATTTTAATTTCTGCATCTTGAGTGTGTTTGCAGTTTTGTCAGAGAATGACTAGTATACTTGTTTCTGGATCATATTTTGTGTGATTCTCCAAAATATATTTGTACATTGAATAACATTGTATTTTCGATCACCAATTATCTTGTTTCTTCAAAATGTGGAGCGGAGAAATTGTCAGACCATGTGACAGTGAATCCTCTAAAACTGCCAGCACCCCCACCTGACAGCCAGGGATGGCTGTGTGCTCCATGCCAGGGTCTCTTACCACAGCAGCCGAGGTGATGTGAGGTTCTGAGGAGCAAGGTGGTTTTTAGCTCTTGAATTGCTGTCACAGGTGCCATCTGTGAATATGTAAAGTGGCAGTTACTTAACGGTTGCAACAAGGAGTAAGTTGTCCAGGGAGGAATTTTCTTCATCACTGAAATCTTTCATTGCATGTGATTAAATTAAAAGATTTAAAACTAATGAGTTAAAAATGGAGAGCCAGTATTTTTAGTGTACACTTAATATTTATAGAATTAGGTTATCTAGAACATTCTGTGCACCCAGTTACTGTATTTTAACTGACTTTTTGGTATGTGTTATAGGCTGCAAATAAAAATGTGGCTAAAGTACCACCTCCTGTTCCATCAAAACCAAAACAGATTAATTTGCCTTATTTCGGACAAACTAACCAGTCACCATCAGATATTAAACCAGATGGAAATCTTCAGCAGTTGTCGGCAGTGGTGGCGTCCCTGGGAAATAAGCCAAAACCCACCGGGCAGCAGCAGAGGGTCTTGCTGTCCCCCGGCGTGCCTTCAGCTGGCCAAGACCAAACCCTTTCTCCAGGTTCTAAGCAAGAAAGTCCACCCGCTGCTGCTGTCCGGCCCTTCACTCCTCAGCCTTCCAAAGACACCCTACTTCCCCCCTTCAAAAAGCCCCAGACTGTGGCAGCAAGCTCAATCTATTCCATGTATACACAGCATCAGGCTCCCGGAAAAAACTTCCAGCAGGCGGTGCAGAGTGCCTTGACCAAGACGCACCCCAGAGGCCCGCACTTCCCAAGTGGTAAGTACCCCACCCGCGCTCCCGTCTGTCATCACACAGGTTCACAGCAAACTGCCTTATTCCTAGTGGGGCTGATGTTTCTGTTATAAGAATTTGGTTTAATTGTGACTTCTGTGAACTTCTGTTGGGAGTTGAAAAGAATTTCTGCTAAATGGCAGCTATTAAAGATAACAGATGATTAAATTGAAAGATGAATAAAGTGAAAAAAATAAATGAATTAGATGAATAATACCTGTAGCAGTGACAGCCTTCTGCATTGTGATTACCCGTTTGTATTTGTTTTACACCTTCTGATGAGTCTTGAGAACTCAGGACGTGGGCAGCTACGGTGCAGAGGTCATGTCGACACTCCAGGTTTGACTAGATGTCTTGTTGTATAGAGGACTGCACAGCTACTTCTGTATATATTTCTTTGAAAAAACACACTCTATTTTAAGTTGTTGTAATGTGGACACAGTCACTAGTTAAATATGAGAGCATAAAAAGACTTGTTTTAAACCATAGGTTATTGAGTATTTTTTTTTAAGATTTATTTTATTTATGCATATAAGAATAGGGGTCTAGACCAGAGGTGGGGAGAGGGTGAGAGGATTCACCAGAATCAAGAGCAGGTTGCAGAACAGGTGGATCCACTAAAATATACTGCTGAGGGAAGCAGTGGGTGAGAGATGAGAGCTCTGCTGTGCCCAGGGGTCACCTCCCTGGCCAGGGATCCAACTCATGTTGCAGTGGCTGGTGGTAGCCTGATGACTTAACCTCCTGCACCACCAGGGAGACCCCAGGTTCTTTCTAAGACTTCTTTGTTTCTAGGACTAGAGAAGGAGTCATCGTCTTTTACTTGAATGAACATGACCTTTTAGTCATGAAAAGGGTTTATAATATGGTCTAAAGTGTCATAAAGATCGTGGGACAGTAAAGAATTAATGTATATGCTACATCTTACTCTTTTCATGGGTCTTTGGTAGAAAATGCTAATATGATAATTTGGGAATTTGGACCATTTTGATATGATCAGAATTTTTGGTGGGATAGGTTTGGTAATATAAGAGGTTCTTAACTTTGTAAACAAAGTAAGCAACCTCACATTGATCTGCTTTTGAAAAGTGTGAATGATGCTTTTGAAAAGTGTGAATGATGCGAAAACTAAAAGTACAGGTTTAGTTTTAATCTGGACACAGAAAAGGGTCACCTGTTTTCATTGATTCTAAATTATTTTTGCATTTTAGGTTTGAATATTACAGTCAGTGATTTTGCAACAGTTTGTTATTGTATATAAAACAATGGTGCATGTTAAGTCGGTGTGAGTTTTGATTCTGTGATAAATTTCTTATGCAATGAAAGCCTTGCTTTGTCATTTGTTATTAGAAAAAAATGGTTGTAGCAGAGGGTGTTAGAAAGGAACTGAAATTAAGAGACACTTTAATTATTGTTAGCTATACCTGTTACTTAGGGTTTTTGTTTTTTTTTTAATGTTTTCCGTTAGTATATGGCAAGCCTGTGATTGCTGCTGTCCAGAATCAACAGCAGCACCCAGACAATGTTTATTCCAATAACCAGAGCAAGCCTGGCAGCCCAGAACCTGAAACAGAGGCTGTATCTTCCCTTCAGGAGAGCCATGAAAATGAAAGAATTCCTCGACCCCTCAGCCCCACCAAATTGCTGCCTTTCTTATCCAACCCCTACCGAAACCAGAGCGATGCTGACTTAGAAGCCCTCCGAAAGAAGCTGTCTAATGCGCCAAGGCCACTGAAAAAGCGGAGCTCTATCACAGAGCCCGAGGGTCCTAATGGTCCAAATATTCAGAAACTTCTGTATCAGAGAACCACCATAGCTGCTATGGAGACCATCTCTGTCCCATCGTACCCATCCAAGTCAGCTTCAGTGACTACTGGCTCAGAAAGCCCCACAGAAATCCAGAATCCATATTTATATGTGGAGCCAGAAAAGGAGGTCATCTCTCTGGCTCCTGAATCCAAGTCTATGGAGGAAGCTGCGAGTGCCAGTGTGGAGAACAGTGACCTGCCAGCTCCTTCTCCAGGCCTGGATTATGTGCCTGAAGGTGTCCCAGACAGCAACCCGAGTTTCCAGAGCAATGTGGAAGAACCAACCCCAGAGCCTCCCCATCTGCTGGAAGTATACCTGGAGGAGTATCCCCCATACCCACCCCCGCCATACCCGTCTGGGGAGCCAGAGGGGCCTGGAGAAGACACAGTGAGCATGTGTCCACCTGAGGTCACCGGGCAGGCCACTCTGCCTCCTGTGAGTACCGAGGAACCTCCTAGTCATGTCAGGGAACGTTCACCTCGTCATAGTCACCTAGGTGGTAGGTGGCCGGCACACCCGAGATTCCAGCAGGTCTCACGGCCACCTGCAAATGATGGCTTCTGTTGGAGGCTGATGTATCAAGTTTGCCCTTTCATTTTACAGTTCCCTTGGCACAGAGTGGATCTCATAAATATTACCAATATTCTATGTAATCAGTATTAAGAATATTTAAATTTGGGGAGAAGAACCCTTTTCTTTGTGAAAGAAACACTTGTTCTTACACCTCAAAACCCCACATTTGCTGTTTGTTCTCTAGCTGACTTCACATCTCAGGGAAGCCACGTTCCACTGAGGATGAGGCATAGAATGTCTGGTCACAGCTTAGCTCTATGAATGGGCAGGGGCATAATTTCCTGTGACAATACTCTTCCAAACTTTGTCTTTTTAGCATTTGCATTTATTTTCATTATTATACTTATGTGGAATGTCAAACTTCCACCATTGATAAAATTGGAAGGGTCCTGGATGAAATCGGGATAAGAAGAGGTAACCAGGCAGGAGGTGGGTGGACACCTGTTCCACATCTTCCTTGCCTGCCACTCAGTTTGGAAACCTCTGCATGAGTGGGATTGCCCCCAGGGGTTCTGGGTTCTCTGACTTGAAGTTAAGCATTTTTTCATTTTTGTCTGGGTGTCTTCCACACGCCTCCAGATATTCAGCTTTTGTTTGGAAGTTTATCATACCACCGTGACATAGATGAGAGGCGATCACAGTCCTGTATGACTTTAAATCAAGTGTGCTTTCAAAGAGTTTACTTTGAAATTTTGTTTCAGTAAGTACAGAATAGGATGTCAGATTGTTAAATCATTAAAACGATTTGAAAAACAAAGTAGAATTTTTTAAAGATTAAAAAAAATGTTTTATATAGTTGATTGCTTACTGTGTCTTAAATGTGGTAACAGTCAAAGATAACTATCATCCAAAATTTTTTTAACTACTGCTACAGGAAACATTTGCTTTAAGTGTTTAATATCATCAACATTGGATTCTAAAGAGAGAATTTTAAAATCAAGGGGAACACCTTTACAACACTGTGCCTTCTAAGTCCTGAGGTGTTGAACATGAGACAAAGAAGGAGTTTTACATCTATTTCTGTTATTTCCCTTCCCTTTTTTGCTTGTTTCAAAATAATTCAGGCTTTCAGCCAGAGTAAGGAAACCAGAGTTTATAAAACATACTTTGTTTTTAAAACTGTTGCTCTCCTCCTAGGAAAGTGATCAGCTCTTCCCTCTGGCTGCGGCTGTGGAGTGATCACTGCTTAGGGCCCGTGGTCACCCTCTGGTCTGCACGCTTGCACACACACTCTGGTTTTCAGAAAACAACATCTCAGCCACTGCGTACTTGTGAAATACACTGGCTGCCACTGTGTTTTGGAAGCCTCCGTAGTTTTACACATCTGTAATGAAATGGAGAAGAACATGTAGTATCATACCTTAGGAAATGTTTCCACTTTGTTGGATGTGTTTAAGAAACCTATTTTAAAGGAAGTTAGAGCCAGTCTTTTAGATTTCAATGTTTTTAAAAGCTTCATTTGTTTCAGTTTAGGAAAATTTGATTATTTTATTCTTGTTCTTGGAGCATACTTCAAATTAAAGTTGCTAGGATTCCTCTGTGTAGCTGAGACAGACTAATAATCTTTATTATCCATCTTCTCGATCTGCTTCCCCTCAGGAGACATTTGTTGTGAGATGGTTAAGAGAAGGGCTTCAAAGAAGTTAGATTACTGGGGTTGGAAATTCAGCTCTCATGTTTACTGACCGTGCTTACCCCCCTTACCTATAAAGAGGGGGGTAATAACAGTAAATGAATCATCATTCTGTAAATGATAATTCTCAGTTGTGCTCGGTCCCAACTTTTTTTTTTTAAAGATTTATTTATTTGTGCATACAGAACTGGGGTACAGGCCAGAGGCTCAGGGGCGGTGAGAGGCTTCACCAGAGACAGAGTGGGGAACAGAACAGGCAGATCGATGGAATACACTGCTGAGGGGAGCAGCGGGTGCGTCAGAAGAGGTCTGCCACACCATGTGGTCACCTCCGGGGCAGGCGGGAATCGAACTCTTTCAGAAGCGGCTTTAGATTCTCAGGGCTGTGCTTTAACCCGCTGCGCCACCAGGGAGGGCCCCAACTTTTTTTTTTAAAGATTTATTTATATGTGCATACAGAACTGGGGTACAGGCCAGAGGCTCAGGGGCGGTGAGAGGCTTCACCAGAGACGGAGTGGAGAACAGAACAGGCAGATTGACGAAGTACACTGCTGAGGGGAGCAGCAGGCAGGTCAGGAGAGGTCTGCCACGCCATGTGGTCACCTCCAGGGCAGGTGGGAATCAAACTCATGCGGAAGTGGCTTTAGCTTCTCAGTGCTGTGCTTTAACCTGCTGCGCCACCAGGGAGGGCCTCTGTCCCAACTTCTAACAATAGTGGGTTGCTATGCTGAATTAGGTAGATCATTTGAAGACCCATTTTCTTCACTTTGATATTTGACAGAAAGGCAGTCTATTGGCACGTCCAAATTGTACTCTTAGCCTAGTTCATGCTATATTATGTTTGTCAAGTGTAATTTTAGTAGTTTTTTTTTTTTTTTTAAAGATTTACTTATTTATTCATATAGAACTGGGGTACAGGCCAGAGATGCGGAGGGTGAGAGAATTCACCAGGAACAGAGTGGGGTGCATAACAGGCAGATCGACGAAGTACACTGCTGATGGGAGCAGCGGGTGGGTCAGGAGAGGTCTGCCACGCCATGTGGGTCACCTCCCTGGCTGGGGATTGAACTCATGCTGCAGTGGCTTCTGAGAGCTGCATAGTGCAGTGCTTTAACCCGTTGTGCCTACTAAGGGAGAGCCCTTAGTAGGTTTTATATAGTTAAGTCATTCCCACTTTCCTGCTTGGATGTGTATTCCTGCTGTGAAAATTTATTAAGTTGTATATTATGGACTATGTAGTTTATAAATGTCAAACTTCAATAAAATGTACTATGTATATATTTTAAAAGTTCTTTCAAAATATAAGGTATTATTCCTCCTCTCTGGTGGTGGTTTTCTTTTGCCTATACCTTGATTCTTATTTTTGCATATATTTCTTCTGCAGGGCAAAAGGACAAACTTGCGTAAAACTGGTTCAGAGAGGATTGGGCATAAAATGAGGGTGAAATTCAACCCCCTTGCTTTACTTCTAGACTCATCTTTGGAGGGAGAATTTGACCTTGTACAGAGAATTATTTATGAGGTATGATTTAATTAGTGAATTGAGTAAATACAACCTTGTATTTTGCTTTAAAACTCTAATCAGAAAGCTACCATGGGGATATTGGTCTTAAAATTGTTTTCTTTTTTTGGTAAGTGGATTGTGAGAGGAACTCTTGAGCATGTTCTAAAATAGGTTATGCTGTTTTAAGGTGTAACTGTAAAATTTGATAATGCAGAAGTTTACCTTTCACTTGGGGTTCTTGGGGAGCACCTTACTCTCCTTTAAAAATTGCTCATATGTGGATTTGTACTCTGCAGGGTTAGATTGCAGATGTAGCCCGACTTTGAGAAGCCTGCTATTTAAAGTATTTTTAGTCGACCTCTTTTCCTTTCCATGGCAAGTGTAACTTATACTTAGATGCTAATTTGTGGTGGGAAACTGGGGCACAAATAAACAGAAATGATGCTTAAGAATATAGTTTCGGCTACCTCTCATTCGATTTTAAAAAAAAAATCCTTTTTATAGTGAGTGACTACTTAATGTGGTTCTTCTGTCTTATCTTTTTTTAAATTACATATATATATATATATATATATATATATATATTTTCGGCTACCTCTCATTCGATTTTAAAAAAAAAATCCTTTTTATAGTGAGTGACTACTTAATGTGGTTCTTCTGTCTTTTCTTTTTTTAAATTACATATATATGTTTTACATTATTCTTCATTTGATACATTTTTCCATCTCAGTTGTAATCCCTGTGGACTCCCAAATACCTCTTCACCCATGTGTGTGTTTATTTTTTTAAATTTCATAAATATATGTTTTACATTA